GTCTTCATCATCGTCTACACTTGGCTCGGACGGGGTTCGTTACTCCTATCAGTCGCTTGCCTAGCACGACTCCACCACCTAACTCGTCTGATAGCATCAGGAAACAGTCGTCAGATGAGGCAATACCACCATCCGAGGCTTCTATCGAGAATCCTCATAATCACTGAATATATGTATGAAAATGTATCATTAACGACTATGTTGTTGAATACTATCCGAGCTTCTGGGATGTCCAAAGCACATCGCCACTTACGTTTCTATCCTTCTCGATAACTTCGACTCGTGTTGGAGATTAAATTCAGGGGGGATAATCGGAGTTAATTTCGTGGCGAGTGACGGAACTCTGCTATACTCATGCGGCAACAGGCATCAAAGAGGTGATTACAGGTGGTTGTTATTCTCGATCAGAGGGTTCTATTCCATGTTGAGTACTGAAGTGAATTTGTGAAGTGTCGTAAGTGGTAAATTAGATTTGGTATACTTTCAGTGAGCCATCTTTTTGATGTTGCTTGTTCGCCCACGTATCTTAATTCTCGCACGCGGAAGATTCAACAATATAGCTCAACGATGGGTTGGATGTTGTCCAGGTGGAACGCAGGTGGTGGTGGTGATCTGAGCTGGAAGTTGGAACTAATGAGATACTTTCAGGTTGTGTATGAGGTCAATGTAAAATGCCGAGACAAGGAGACAGCTGAAAGATTCTTCGGATGGCTGGTCAATCAAGGCCATGTCGCGGAAGTAGTTAAGAATGAAGGATTCTCTTCGGCTGAGGTACGATAGTTCTAGTGCACGTCATGAAATAGGCGGTTACTATAATTTCGTGGCGCAGTGACGGATTCGCCAGGTCTTTACGGATGTTGAGGATGCCCGTAAGTTGGTTGCGAGATATGTAGTTGACAGTGTGGAAGATCTAGATGCGTACTCTAGCGGACCTGGGGTAGTGAGGGAGGTTAGTCGGGGATCTCACAGAGTGAACGATACTGAGGATGTGATACCGAAGGTTTATCAGATATAGCACACTATTTCAGATAGCACTCAAGAAAGAAGGCATTGAGAAATTTGGTGACTCTTTTACGGCGACGAGGAGAGTTTTACGTAGCGCTCATACGGTTTACAAGTGAGGCCGCTGTTCGATCCGAGGCAGGGTCATTTTTGTTTCATGCCGCTCCGGGATAGTGAGGTTTTGGGTTGACAGTGAAGTTCTAAATGGGTGTGTGAGGAAGTGTTGGAAAATAGGAATGCATCTGAGGTACCACTCGAACAGGAGGTTAAACACGCATATCATTGAATTGAGGATATCATTGTTAATTCTGTGTGACAGGA